GATGTTTCATACTTTCCAGACCCCATATCCTGAGATTCTGTCCGCAAGGGGCTCTGACTTATGCCAGGGCCTGCAGGCACCTCTTCCTTACAAGGGTGATAAGCCTTGGTCAAAGCCATCAAGCTGTTGGGCGTGGTGAAAATACATGGACAAATGTAGTGGGCTGAGCACATGTGTTTGGCAGGACCAGGATGAAAATGGAGCCATAGGCTGGGGGACATCTCCATTTGTACACTCCAGACAAAAAGGGAGACGCGTTTGATTTTAATTAGCTGTACTTTTAGATCTGAATACTGCTAGATAGGAACAATATTAACTTTGAATCCTAACTTGCTAGCCAGGAACAGTATTACCTTTAAATCTCAGATACTATAGACAGCATGTGATACATTCTTATGGTTGAAGAGGTGAATGAATGAAGACTTAAAGATATGACAACATTTTCAGCAAAAAATTCCAGATCTATGCAGTGCTTATATGTGTGTCAGTGTGTGTATATATGCACACATATACATACATATAGGTACATGTATGTATACACGCATACGTATATATACACACTACACATATAATGTATATATTTGGGAAGTTACATAAGTCTGTTTTTCATTACTTTTCTCTTTCTTACCTCTAAGTTGGGACTAGAATAATAATAATCTCAGAAGACATTATAAGAGCATTCCCAAATTACATCACTATTAAGAGAAGGAGCGCAGATTCAAAGATAGCACCTCTGTCTTCCGAGTTCTCAGTCAGTTTGGGTAAGACAATGAGAAATGCAAGGCGAACCATGGTCTCTTTCCCTCTATCTTTACTGACTTGACTTCTAGGCTACTAAGCTGGTCATCCTGGAAGATGAATGTCACTACTATAGACCCATCAGGGGAATTTTTTGGTTTTCTAAGTAGGAGTAAATTGGAATATCAAGGGGGGAAAACCACTTTAATTTAGACTTGCTAACACTGTGTAAGAAGATATTGGGCTTTTCCCCATTATTGTAACAATTTTGTTTTATTTTTCTGCATTCTACTATATCTCCATAGGAAAAAGAACTTTGGGGAAAAATTACTTGCCTTCAATGGTAGTTGACACTGGAGTGGACTTGGAAGCTTGTTCTGGCAGCGCTGGAGGTGGGAAGGCTGGGCTTTGTCCTGTGTATAGAAGGCACGAGTAAGCACTGGGGGGAAATTATTAGCGAGTTTAATATCCATAACTAAAATAGCTAGATAGGTCCACAATATGAATAATTCATAATCTTGAGTATAAATTCACATTATTATGCAATAAGAAAACTGTTATTAGGTGAGATTTTAAATGGATACATTCACAGATTCAGTTATCCTCAGAGCTATTTCTGAGTACATTATTATTTTTCATAGATGTATATACAAAGTTAAATATATCTACTGGACTTCATTAATGAAGAATCTCCAAGAGATCAAATAAAGCAATTTATTTTCAATATTCACTTTAACTTATGGAGACTGAAATCACAGAAGCTGAGTGGAATTATAATAGATAGGAAAAAAATCATCTTTTTCTTTTTTTTAATTTAACCGAGGGTACTTAAGTGATATAATAGGACAATAAAAGAAGGTTGAAATTCACAGGCTTTTCAATATTGAACAGGTACATTTTCTCCTGTCAAAATAAATGACCTGTAGTTAAGTAAACAAGGAGCCAAAGGGAAAATATATTCCATTTTATAGAATCTTGAAATGCTCCCTCCAGTCTCTTGGCTTATTACGAATGATATAAAAACCCACAATCATTTCCGAGCGCTTCCTTATCCCGAGTGATTTCTTTAATTAACTAATACCACCCGGGCCACAGACTGTAAACATTAACTAACAAATGATCCAATATGAAATGCTTGCAAGATATGTTATCATTAATTTTCATCCCAGACTCAAGCTGTCTTTTTGTGTGTGTGTGTGTTCATCAAGGTGGGCATCTGCACCTTCTAAAATCTCACTTACAATTAAGTATTATCAAATGTCAGCAGACCTGCCTGCTTACTGGAAGTTTTCCTTTTATAGAATGCATCAAAATTAGTTCTCTGAGGTGAATTGTAGTGTAGTAAGCAAAGCTACTGGAGTTGCACATGCACCACATTCCACAATGCCGAGCAGGGTAGAGTCCTTGGCCTTGACCCCCACGGCATGTCACCCCTAGTCTCCATCCATTACAGGATCTCCCTCTATTTCTTCTTACCCATGCAGGTTGCCATTTGTGCACATGCAAGTATTCATAAAAACAAAGCGTATTGTTTCAGAACATGCAGGCCAGATATAGGAATCCATTTTTTTTTTCTTCCCTCATCTGAGCAAATGAACCCTAGAACTTCTTGCTTTGAGATGCAATCAAAAGTAAAGTTTGAACACAGTGAAAAGAAATGATGCACATAATTTTTTCTGTAAAATTTCCATAATGCCTAGTATGTGCCAAGAGCAGTGCAAAACTGTTCCCCTGTATTAAGTCACATCCTCTTCATAACATCCTTAAGACAGAGGTATAAATCACATGCTAAACTTTTATAAACGGAGGTAAACAATGGCTCAGACCATTCAGCTCCTGGAAGACACAGGCAGACTGCCAGCCAGTCTCCAGAGCGCCTGAGAGTGACAAACAGCTGTCTGATGCTGGAGAGACGCAGTGACAGCTGAGCGGGCAGCAGCAGAATGCTTCTTTGAGTACTCTGCTTTCTCCCAAAGACCTGCTCTCAAGTCTTGCTTGTGAGCTACCTTGAAAGAATATCTCTAAGGAAGAATGGCATTTTCAACCTTTCCAATTTATATTTAGGAATGAATCAATGAAATAACTATAGCTTACCATACCAGTGGTCACAAATATAAATTGTTTCTAGCGGTAAGATTTTTGAAAAGATCCAATTCAATGAAAACTGGCTCCTATGCAGCCATGCACTCCTATGAGCAATAGCAGATGTAATATCATCATCTTTTATAGTTTTGATGAGCTCTTCAGGAATTTATTTTAGAATTATGAGGTTCTTTTCACCAGAGAGTTATACGTAATTTACATTATAAAATATTTGCCTGGAGGGACTATAAATTTTATATTTTTTTCAAAAAAACTAACTTTATTGAAGACTTATTATGTGCCAAGTGCCTTTCAGTGATATAACTGTACCCTTGCTTTTCATAATCTCCCAGTCTACTGGCTGAAGGCAGCTTCTAGACAGATGATTATAGTGCAGAGTGCGGATGGGCGCCGAGGTGGTATGGCCCAGAGTCCTGGTGGAGAGTAGTTGCAGCCTGCATTTAAAGGACTGCAAAAAGTGGAGCCGATACAGACGTGTTGGAAAGCCAGTGCTCCTTTAGGCAGAGGGCATCGAATTTGTGCAAAGAAAAGGGCCCAGAGCCCAAAGAATGTCCCCCCAAATCCTGTCCCCAAAACTCAGGCTCCTGGTAGTCCTGTGTGCAGATAGAACTGCTTTGTTTTCCTGCAATCGTGTGGACGTGGATTACCAGGTGTTCTTTGTGTGGATTCAAACCCCCATCCTTCCGGTTAGTCCCTGAGTGCAAACCATTTATCCCCTCCCCCCGGGAGAATAGCAATGGAAACAATCAAATGAGTGTTTCTACAGGATGAAGAGGAATGCCCAGTTTGTATTGGAAATGCTTTTCAACTGTAATTGATTCTCTTGTGAATGGCTGCATGTTTGTGAAGCAGTGGACATGGTGAGCAAGTAGAGCTGCAAAGCAGAGAAGGAAAAGCTAAGCGGCACTTGTCTCCATGGGTCCAATGGTAGTTGGCCTTGACCAAAGAGTTCCTGGTGAGGGGCCCATGTTTATCACTCTAGAGGAGATAAAAATAGATGGATATGTAAAGAGGTAGAGCAATAGACACATACATACATAAACATACTCTGGCCCTTCATGCTTGGGGACAGGGCTTTCATATTGACTGATAGACATTCTCTCTTTCATGTTCAAATAATGTCAGAGTTTTAATGCTGAAATCTAAGGCCATTTTGCTTATATGTAACATACAATAATATAGATTATACATTCTATTAAACATACTATTATATTTATAAGACAAATTAAAAATGAATGCCTATTGTTTAGTATCAAGAGGCAAACGTGTATGGGCTGATTAGCTGAGTGAAAGTGAAGAAGCCTTAAGACTTAATCCAAGGCAAAAGACGAACTCACTGCCATCAGGCTGATTCTAATTCACAGAGACCCTGTCGGACAGGGTAGAAATGCCCCTGTGGGCTTCTGAGACTGTGTACCTCCTCACGTGAGTGGAAAACTTTGTCTTTTTCTGTTGGCGTGGCTGGTGGCTTTGAACTGCTGACTTTGAGGTTAGCAGCCCAAGCATCACCCTTACATCAACAGGGCTCCATAGGATTCAATAGAGTCTCTACCAAGTCAGGCTAGTTTTTAGGGTTGTTGTGAATATTAGATAACAAATTGTCCAATATATTATAGATACTCAAAATATAAAGTCTTTCTCCATAATGGATTTATAACTTATAATCCACCTACTTGCACAAGAGGATCTGAAGCAAGCAAGATTCTTAATAAGAAAACAAAGACACGGCAGATCAAATTAAACAGGACAGAAATAGTAAAACTCATTTACAGGAAAGTGACTTATAATTTTATTAGGAATATTCTCCTTTGGAATTCCCGTGGATGGTTACTTTCTGAAGGAAAGATTCGGGTTATTGAAATTTACATTGAAACTCTGAAGGTGCCCTTTATTTTCTAAGCTATTACCAGAAAATCCTGCTGACATTCAAACACAGTGCATTTACTTTATTTTTGTGCCTTGAGTGATTTTGCCTGGCTTATTTCCATAATACCTGAATGGCAAGTGTGTAAGCCGCCAATATTTTATTGTTCTGAGGGTTTTTTCTTCACATAAGTCAATTTCATTGTTTTTGGTTTAGTCAAATCCCTCTGGGGATAGTATACAGTGCACATTCCTTCCAATGATCTAAGTCACTGATGTTTTCTCGACTTTGTTAGAAATGATGAATGGGATTACTCCAAATCTTGAGCAGCCAAGGAGGAGGCTCTGAGCGGCATTCAGAGTGTATGAAATAAACAAGAATTCACAGTACTAAAGTGTAAGTATCTAGGTCCTTTATGAAATGCAATTCCCTGTTGAAAACGATCTCTAGACCACTAAGGCCTACATCCTAAAACGTATAAAAAATGCGGACAGTATTTTTTCTCTAATGTTAGAGGTTATTTTATTCCTTAGACTCCCCAGTTTATGGTCCTGGAGGTATTAAAAAGCAGAAACACTTTGGAAAGAGCCCCTGCCCTGTGAGCAGCGAATGGCCCGAGATCCCGGAAGGAGAAAGGTGAAGTTCCTTGCTGCGTGACCATTGAATTCAGAGTCACTACGGTGTTTCTGTTTTTCATAGAAAAGGCGAAATCACTATGTCCTCACCCGAATTCCTTATTTCCGATTCCTAAAGGCAGCAGACCCGAGAGGGGAAAGCTGCGGCGGTGGCGTTGACTCGACTCCGGGTGAGCCCGCAGGTATCAGCAGCACTTGGAGGGGAGGGTTCTCGGGCTGATCTTTCAGAGGTAGATGGCCTGGCTTTTCTTCTAAGGCTCAAAGCACTACACTCTGTTCAAAACAAGCATACTCACAGCCATTGAGTGGATACCAACTCACAGCGACCCTATAGAACACGGTAGAACTACCCCTGTGAGTGCCTGAGACTGCAACTCTTTACAGGAGTAGAAAGCCATGTCTTTCCCCTGAGAAGCACCTGGGGGGTTTCCAACTGCTCACCGTGTGGTTCAGACCCAAAGAGGAAGGACTATGCTACCAGGGCTGCTGAATAATTAACCCTTCCCAGGTATTCCTAAATTCATAAGAGGTCTTTGTAACTATATGATTAAAAGTACTGGGTTTTCTGCAGTTACGAAGAAGATACGAAAGATTTTCTGATGTTACAAAGAAAATTTTAAATAGGTTTGTTAAAACAACATCTCTTTTGTATTGGCAGATAGCCCATTGAATGAACTGTTTTGGCAACATCTCAGATATGCAGAGATGAAAGTTTAGTAGTTTAGAATTTAACAAATGCTTCCTGAGATGGAAATATGTTTTGGTATTTTAGGGCGAGCACATGATTGTCAGAAGGCCCTGAAATAATAACCTTCAAGTTTCCTTATTGTCTCTTCTCTTGTACTTTTAGAACACTTATGAAATGGAGAAAGAGGGCTGTAGGAATGAGGGGAGTTTACAATTCTTCCAAAGAATGCTGTTTACCTCTAACTGCAAGGATCGAGCTTAGAACCCGTCACCCTCTGCAGGAGAAATAGGAGAAAGCCTGTTTCTGTAGAACGTCGTCCTGGAAACCCTGTAGCATCACCTACTCTGTCCTACAGAGCATGATGGATAGGAATCGGCTCAACAGACAATCACTCCTCCACGGCCCAGGCCTTATGCCCATTCTGGTACCTTGCAGAGAGCCCAAAAGCAAGCAAGCAGTTCCATACTTTATGTTTTTAAAAAGGGCTCACAGCCTGTGTGGTTCCCAGGGAGAGTTACAGTGTCAGAAATCCACAGGCAGCAGCTCGGCTCTGTCCTCTGGGGTCACTCACCAGGAGTGGACTCTACTCCATGGCAGCGAGTTTGAGCTTTTGAGTTTTGATCTTTGTAAAACCATATGAAGCATCACTCATGTAAGAACCCAGAATTGCAAACATGCGTATGAAACAGGGATCTCTTGTACAGGGAATTAAGAAGTTTAGGAGTTTGTGTGAGATGGGCCAGAAGGAAGGTGTTCATTTTAATCATAAGTATTTTTGTACCTCCCACTTGTGTATTGCTAAATTTCACACTTAAAATGAGTCTTCCTTCCCCTTCCCTCAATTGCTCCTCAAACCCACTGGCAAGCTGTATAATTCTATGCAAACAAAGAGAAAGCAAAGGTCAAGAACTGAAAGAGAGAAAGGCAAGAGAAAGGAAGAATGAAAAAGAGACAGAGGTACAAGATTCAAGGACAAAGAAAAGGTCTCCTCTTTACAATGACTACCTTGTTTTTTCCCAAAATACAGTGTGATCTTAAAATAGTTTATCTTACCTCTCAGTTTTATAAAATGAATTATTTAATCCTTTACTGAGTGGTACAAGTTTTAAATGCAAGAAACCACTTCTAACATTGAAGTTGCATTTTAAAAGTTTATGATACTGAATATTACAATACTGGTGTCATGTATATGTATCGTGTGCACATCTAGGGAGTTTGATTTTACGTTTTTAGTCCAGAATCCAGATCATTCATAAAATATCTTAACATACATTTATTTACAAGAAAGAGGTTTATACAAATGTGATGAAGAAAGCTGGTAGTGTCCAGCTATCAAAAGATATGGTGTTTGGGGTCTTAAAGGCTTGAAGGTAAACAAGCAACCATCTAGCTGAGAAGCAACAAAGCCCACATGGAAGAAGCACACCAGCCTGTGTGATTACAAGGTGTCAATGGGATCAGATGTCAGGCATCAAAGACCCAGAACAAAGAATCATATCAATGCAAATGAGGGGAAGTGTGGAGTGGAGACTCAAAGCCCATCTGTAGACAATTGGACATCCCCTCACAGAAAGGTCACAAGGAAGAGACAAGCCAGTTAGGGTGCAGTATAATACTGACATACAACTTTCCTCTAGTTCTTTAATGTTTCCTCACCCCCACTATCATGACCCTAATTCTACCCTACAAATCTGGCTGTACATGGGTACAGATAAAGTCCTTGGGACCAATAGTGAGAGGAGCCATACCAGGAGGGGAAGGGGAAAGTGGGAGGAGACAGGGGGAACCAATCACAATGACCTACTATAGTGCCCTCCCAGGGGGATGGACAACAAATAAAGGGTAATGGGAGATATCAGACTGTGCAGGACATGAAAAAAGAATCATCATTTATATTATCAAGGTTCAAGAGGGAGGGAAAGTGGGGGAGGGAGGGGAAAAATGAGGAGTTGATACCAAGGGCTCAAGTAGAAAGCAAATATCTTGAGAATGATGATGGCAACAGATGTACAAATGTGCTTGACACATGGATGGATGGATGGATTGTGAGGAGTTGTACAAGCCCTAATAAAATGATTTATTAAAAAAGAAAGAAAGAAATTCCAGTCATCTGTATATTTCCTAAGCAATTACAACCCCAACCCAAAGAGGGAGTTTTGGGGAAATGCACACTGCATATCTGTGTACGTGATTGACAAAGGAATTCTTTACCCAAAAGGAAGCCATTGCCTTTCAGGCTCAAATACAAATGATCAACCTCAGGAAGGTTGCTGGGATAAAGCTGATTTTGTGTTGTGAAATAGGCCAACATTCAATAAGTGAGGGCACATATCCACGTTCCTAAACAGTGTCACTTGTTTGCCTGTCCTTATTTCCAGAGCTCTATGTGGCTAAAAAACCTTTGGATAATCTAGTCTATGAATTAAACATTAAGCTGATTAATAAACATTTTCATGGGGAAAAAAGGCTCTTTATCCTTAAAACACAATGAGACTGGAGAGCAACGGCATCTCACATAGGACATTCTAGGTTGGTCATGTGAATAAGAGTTTGTTCTAAGGGCAATCATAAGTTTTTGAAGAATTCTAACAGGTTTCCTAGGGCCTGTGTGGGAAAAAGATGGAGAGGTAGGCAAAAGAGGGGCTGCAAGGGGATCAGTTGGGCGAGTGTCTTCATAGTCCATGTAAGTGCTGATCTGCGCTTGGATAAGGAAAGTTGTGATGGAAAAGCACTTGCTCTTGCACAGGATATTTATTGAGTGCTCTTCAGTCCCAGTCTCAGGACATGGCTGAGCAGTTATTAGGATGAACAGTGAAGGCAAAAAGTAGTAATAACTTCACAGGGCTGAGATTCCAGTGGGCAGAGACAGAAATTAGCATTGAAGTAAAATGAAGATAAGTACTCTGTTTAAAAAAATTGCAAGGAAGGAATATAAGGAGTGTTATTGGGGCCGTGGGAGATCATTTTAAATATTCTAGTCAGCAAAAACCAAGAAACGTTTGAGGAGTGAGGACACATTTTGAAGTGGACTCAACAGAACCCCTGAATAAACTGTTACACGAGGTGTGAAGTGATGAAGAGGAATTGAGAGTGATTTGGTTGGAAATTGGCATGAGCATCTGGAGGCAAATGAGAAACATACGACCCAGAGGAAGGTTGCCCATTTTCCAATCACCCAGGCAGTTGCTGTTTATGGACTAATTGCTTACTTGTTCTTGCTAGCTGCACGGCATAGTTTTCTATATTGCGAGAGGAAATACACAAAAGGCACTGAAGGAGAAATGACAATTACTCTACTCAGTCATTCCAATAGTGTATCTTATTGGCAATGAATTGTCAAGTCGTCTTTTATATATACTTTGAGAAAAGGTTCAAGCAAATGGAATATTTAATAAAAATTGGTGACATGACCCTACTATGTGGATGTTGAAATCACCAAAAGCTTTAAGTTCTTAGATCAAAGAGCACCCCCCAGGCCAAAATCTTTCTGCCAGAAAGGTTTCTGTCCATCCTGATAAAAAACTTCCCTAATATTTCCACGTGCTATTATATATTTGCATATTCACTTTGATGCAAAGCAAGAAATAGTAGCCAAATACATATTTCATACCTTCCTTTGATTAAAAATGATAAAGGTGATATTAATAGGGATTTTTTCCCCTTTCTTTTCTCTTCATCCTCAATTTATAAAGTAGAAAAAATTACCATGGCACAGCTATCGTTCTGTGATGACGAAGGAGAGATCATATCACTGTCCATTTATTCGTGTGCCTTGTATGTGACAGAACTCCCCATGTTTACAATATAATCAAATTAGATATGTAGGATAATACTCACAGACTTGGGGTGTGAGATCAGCTATTCCTACACCCTAATTTGATAGATGCGGAAAATGCCTGTGGTCGGTTGATGTAACCACAGTCACTAGCTGAAATGCGAACCAATAGAAGATACAGGGCCCCCAATACCACCATCACATTTTCATTTCTTTTATTTTGATTTAGTGATCTATTTATAAAGTTTACATAAATACTACTTTGTTTATCTGTTACCAGAGAAATATGTAAATATTCACTCCAGAGCGTACAAATGTCATGGTTTTCTCCACTGGACAATTTAGATTTAACCACTATTGAATTGACGTAAGAAATGAATGATAGAGACCGAATGTGTTAAGACAAATCTGTTGTGCTAACTGATCCCACTTCAGAGAGCCAAGAGAGAAAGTCAGCTGAGTGTTCTGAAAACTTTCAGAATTATTTTTTCTTTACTTTGCTCAAATAGTTTCTTCTACTTATCCAAAAATACCCTTTTCAACCCCATATCACTTGACATTTATATGTAGTGTGAGGCAAAGGGGAGGAAGAAATGAAAGAAGATATGAACAAGTAAGTATATATATTTTTTTCCTTTTCTTTATGACAAAGGTCAAAGAGAGTGGGGTGGGGGGAAGTTAATGAGATTAACTAGATGAATTACATTCTCAGTTGCAAAAGCAAACATTAATGAACAAAGTCATCTCATCTGACCAGAAGGTCACCATCCTTCTAGTAGAACCATCCAGTTAAATGGATTACACTGCCTAGAACCTGTTAGATGCAACTGATTACTCAAAGTTTAGCTCTATGGTCTCATTTTGACCCCGTTCTATGTTACTCCCCTCCCAGAACACTTGATTGCCTGCCTCTTAAACACACTCGCGTATCAACAAGTCCACTTGTGTGTTTTCCTATGAAGCTATCGGCACCTAGACCACAGAATCTATTATGTGTTAGTCACTATACATACACTTGGCAAAGAAAATACGAATGATTAAAGGGGAAAATGCATAATTAATTGAATGAGAAAAATGAATGCTGCTGAATGTCACTCAGTTATGCTGTTTCCAGAGGATTTTAAAATGAAAAGACTGAATTATATATTTAAATTTCCTAGTCAAATGTGAAATCCTTCCACCAAGACACATACTAAAGTTAAAAAACAAATTTTCAATTACTTGTAGCTTTAGAACAAAGTATTCCTTTTGTCCTCTTGTGGGAAGCTTTGGATGAGTGTTTACCACTGGAACACCAATTTCTCCCGGAAGGCGAAGCCGTGCAGCATTCATCCACGGTGAGTGGGGGGCTCAAAAATGAGCAAGGGCGGCTTCATCAGTGACTGAGCTCCAGCAAGCCCCAGTATTTGTGATGTATTCTAAATACCTATCCCTTCCCTCGAGGGAGAAATATTATGTGAATTGGCAGTCATAGTATGTTCCAGCTCACCCACAGGTGGAGACAGACAGTTTAGTTTTAGGGAGCGCCTAAGAGACCCCTGAGACCCTGGAAGCCCCTCAACAGTTGGAAAACTTGCCAAATTCATCAAGTGCTATCAACTCTTAGGAGCGTATAGAAAAGAAGCCTCAGTGCCCAAATGGTCTCACACTCAGCTGCTAAGTGCAAGGTCAGAAGTTTGAAACCACCAGTGATTGTGCAGTAGAAAAGAACTAGTGATTTGCTCCCATACTGACTACAGCCGGGAAACCACAGGGGCCATTCTGCTCTGCTCCGTACCAGCTCCACGTGGCCACAGCAGCAACGTCCAGCGATTTCATGTTCTGTGGGCTCTGCGGAACGTGCTGTGGTGGTTCTTGCATTCACTTTGGAAAAAGCATGAAGATACAGGGATTGGACTAAATTTATGATACATTTCCAATAGGGTTAAACAGCTTAATTTCAGACAAATGTAGTTTTTGCATTTAATCATTTGCAATCATTAAAAGAAAACTTCTAAGATGTGGTGTTCAATACGGTAAATGGAAATGCTTTATATAAGGACAAGTAACACTTTTTCTATTTGATAATGATTATTTAAAACAGACACATCTTTTAGAGTCTCAATTATGATAATTCAATACTCAATGTTGTAATTAATTCAAATGAAGCCTCTGAGCTGCTGTTTTCCATTTTCAAAAATACCTAAAATTCTTTATTAAAGAGTGCATGTCTATTCTCTAAGATGTCCCAATGATAGGAATTGTTATTGGATAAATAAGATTAATCTTACTAGAATTCATCTCCATCATGGAGGAAAGATTTACATGTAATTTTAAAAAGTGCATCACTGAATAAAATTTAATTTCAAGACAAACCACAAAACCCCTGTGCCATTTTGAGATAAATATCTCAGGTTTCATTTGTCTCCCTCGGCATTTCCCTTCATCATGTTAATGTATTAATGGATATCGGAGTATTATTCATTTAGCTTAATTGATTATTGCTGATGATGGAGAAGCTTTTGCTCTAGTAAGCATGCGCTTTTTAAATCAGGAAATTACAGTATGATGTACTCTTGAATATG